ATATATATATATATATATATATATATATATATATATATATATAAAGGGCATACAAGTCAAATAATGATAAACTAAAAAATAAATTAATGTGTATTTTAAAAAATTAAAGCAAAAACAAATAAATAATATTATAAACCTACTACATGTTTCAGCTTTATATTAATTATAATTAAATGCGATCAGAATACAGGTGTACCACCTTGTGCTTTGCAATCATATCAAAGATACCAATGTATCTTGTAATGCCAATGTCTAACATGATAAAACGTAAAAGTTGCAACAGCGTCAAAAATCAGTTTTCTCTTTCTAAGTTTCGGTAAAGATATAGAATACCCCGCTCTGTTCAAATTTTGATAAAAATACACTCATTCGATTCGTTTTTGCACCAAACGAACGAATCTGGCAATAAAAAATGTTGCTCTGCTCTTCGAACCGAGATATTAAGCGTTAAAGTTGACAACTATTGAGATTAGGAAATCTGTCATACAGACTACATGTAGTGCTATGAATATGCTTTTCTTCATGCTCTGTGACAGCTTTGTTCCATGCTCTTGCGTATGGGTTTCACTATTCCATACAATAGAGTGTACGAAATTTAAAATCAATTAAAAAAATGAATTAGTCACTCGTGCAATGTTTTTATTATACGTAGTTGTATTCCAAATAAATCAAAACCCATGTGGACAGAGAGGTGTATAGACAGTAAAGCTTAGGTTCGGGGCGTCATAGCAGCCCCAAAACATAGAGAAAATAACATTCTAGCCGCTTGGGGCCTAACCACCTAGAAGTTACAGCCTAGACAGTGTCCGCTTGGAATATTCTTAACCCATGAAGACAATGAGACGTGAGGACAGTCTCTGAAGATTGTTCTCTATTCTACAATGAGCTCTTTGTTTACTATTTCTTGCTTTTTATCTCTTGCTTTCTTTTTCTTTACAATCGTTTTTCCGACAATTATATTTCTTGTTTCTTCCGATGTTTGTTAACTTTCATCTTGGGCGATAGAAAATGAAAAATAGGAAAAAGAGGAAAAAAGATAAGATATAAAAGTAGCACAACGTAAGAAACAGAAAACAAAATGCACACTGCAGAACAAGCTTTAAAGTCAAAGTAACGTCGTTGATATATATCTATAATCGGGTTTAAATCACAAAAAATTGCGTCAAAATTTACCTCTAATAATGTCGTAGAAACAAAAAAATGAGGAGAAAACAACTACCAACCTACTACCACCAGTGACGTAGCGTTTTTCACTGGGAAAACTGGTGCAGCACTAGCGCCGTGCTAGGTTTATATGAAAACTGCATTAGTGTAGTGACCCTCTAATAAGAGTCTGGACACGTGAGTCCGCCATTATTCGTCAAAATTGTGCGAGAGAGAAAAAATCATGCTATCTCATTCTAGTGGCGCTGTAAGTTGTAGCTGATTGTAGCTCTACAAACTTCATAGTTTCTGTTTCTGTTTCGTCTCGCCCATGAAGGAAGATATAAGGACTAAGGAGACTCCACTCGATCTCGCCAGTCTACAAGACATGAACCCATTTTAGGTTTCGAGTTCCGTTTCCGATTGTCGACACTCGCAGCGCTCGTGAATTTAGTAGTGCTGTGAGAAATGATCATTTCTCTTACTCGCACTCATCAGAATCGGAAGCTGAACTCGAAACCTAAAATGGGTCCACTTTTATTTTACGGAGTGGAGTCTCCTTATATCTTACTTCCTGGTCTCGCCTCATGCATCGTATCATTTTTAAGACCAGTTGCGGGATTCTCTAAACGTTTTATCGATGATTGTCGCTATCGTTAACTGGCGACAGCCAATGGCAGGACAATCCTAAAAGAAAGCGCTGCTCTCATTGGCTGTCGCTAGTTAACGATTACAACAATTATCGAAAAAACGTTTAGAGAATCCCACAACAGGACCATTAATATTCGAAGAAGAAGAAGAATCATTATGATTAATATTATTATATTATATATTATTATTATATTATATTATTATATTATTATTATATTATTATTATATTATTATTATTATTATTTATTATTATTATTATTATTAATATTATTATATTATTATGATTAATATTATTATTTATATTATTTTTATTATGCGTTAAAGGAATATATGTTACATTTTTGTTATATGTTAAATATAATAATTACAAAAACATTTTTATTAAATATAAATACTGTATATCTAATATACATAAATAATATGAAATATACATGAAATATTTTTTTCTGCATAAATATACTACTTTATTTATTCCCTATTGGTGCTACCTAAGTATTTTTTGTTAAGAATTTTAAAGCATTAATTGTATTATTTGTATTTAAATTTAATTTTTATTAAAGTTTCTTAATCTTGTAATATTTTTATAAATTTTATATATTCTTAATATATTAATTTTTATATTTTCAATATATTTATAATACTTACTTAATTGTTGTTTTTATTTTATGAAAGACATATTGCAACGTTTTTTTTACATAAAAGTTTTTATAGAAAATATTTAATAATGTTAATATAAGTTAAATAATAATAAAAATAAAAATTGTAATTGATTCTACTTTAATTTTTACGAATTTATTAATTTTTACAATTTATAAATTTAAAGAAATTTGCGGGAATGGATGATAAATGTCGGACCAATCACAAACCGGGGAGAAGGTGGCCAGACTCTTATTGGAGGGTCACTACTATATAGAAGCAGGGAATGGAAAGTTACTTTTTAAAAATAACTAGTTACAGTTACTCGTTACTAGAGTCCTAGATATCAGAGAAGCGCAACCGATGTTCCGCGTCCTGATTAGCTGACTGTCAACCAATCATGACATTCACTCAGTGGTATTAAAAATGGCTGACTAATAGACGATTGGTGGATTTCATATTTCGTCTGCAAACGACGCCATTTTTAATACTTTTCTTAGTAATTTTGCGATACTGACTTAAGTCGGTTGCGCTTCTCTGATATCTAGGACTCTACTCGTTACCGAGTAAAAAATGTAACTAGTTACAGTTACAGTTATCGCTTTTTAAAAGTAACTCGTTACAGTTACCGTTACTTGAAAAATAACTTTTCGTTACTTTTCCGTTACTTTTTTAAAATCAATTTAAAAATGTACTTTTGCTTTTTTTTTTTATATGTAATACTGACAAATATATAGTTTTATTTTGAAAAAAAAAAAACAATGTAGAATGGCTCAAATAATAAATTAAATAAAAGTAAAATGAGAAGGGTTACGAGCCAATAATGAAATAGTTTATTTCCGATAAGAACGACGATGACAATGTAATTAAATGTATAAATATATATTAGAACAATACATAGATAAAACAAGATAAAAACAAACGACGTTTCGACACTTATTGTCATCGTCTTTTAAACTGTTTCGCTTTTGGGTTCATAGCCCTTCTCATTTTACTATTATTTAATTTATTTTTTAATTTTTTTTAAACACAGTTTTGTAATTCTAAAACCTGTAAAATATGCAGCAAACTGAAATATTTGTATGTCCTATGTATTACATAGAAGATAGAAGTGTAAAATAATTACTGAATCATAACGGCCGAATGTCTAAGGGCTTTCAAGCCTTATGGGCCTTCTACAATAAGCCATAAGTCATAAATCGGAAGTAAGAAACTCAAAATTGACAACTGTGATTGGTCCATTTCTAGTTTATGACTTATGATTTGTGACTTACGGCTTATTGTAGAAGGCCCATTATTGATAAGCGCTATAAATAGCATGTATCCAATCGAACCGTGTTCAATCGTGTGCAAAGTAACGACAAAAGTAACTGTAAATTTCGTTACCGTTACCCAAAAAATGTAACTCGTTACCGTTACAGTTACCAAAAAAAGAAAGTAACGCAGTCACCAGTAAAGTTACCAAAAAAGTAACTTGTAACTGTAACTTCGTTACAAGTAACGAGTTACTTCCATTCCCTGTATAGAAGTCTGTGGAGCATACCCTTATCTTTCTACCATGGTTATACTTACACGATTAATGAAGCGCGCAAATATATTTGTACTTCATTAACTGCACTGAATTCTCATTAGGCCGGAATCAGACTACGCATTGAAAATTGAGATTGAAGATTAAAAATTGAAATTTGACCAATGAGGATAAAGAAATTTTAACTCCTATTATTTTAATTAGCCAAAATTTAATCTTTCAATCTTCAATCTCAATCTTCAATGCGTAGTCTGATTCCGGCCTTTTAGTCTTGTTTTAAACAGATTGTTTTTTTTTTTTGCAAAAGTCCACGGCGCGAACTAAAAATTATGCACAAATGCGGTTTACAGCTTTCGAAAGAGTGAATCTTTATCTTTAATTTGCCTTTTTTCGATCTCTGTACGATTTTTTTTCACTGAGTTATTCAACGTTGAAATACAAATGACCTCTTTTGCTTTAACATAATTTTTAATTCGTACCGTGGACTTTCGCAAATTTCGTCCAAAAAATTTTGAGATTTGATGCATTTTCATTTATGTTTGTGTAACTTTATGAAATATCAGTAATACCGTTCTTTTAAATTATTGATTTGAAAAGTACAGATTTCAAACTTTAAAATGCTTTTTTAAACATCTCGATACGATGATTTTTTACGAAGTTATTTAATCTGAAAGTTTGCCTATTTTTGCAGGGTGGAGCAAGTGATACTTTAATTTTATTGAGTAGTGTATATTAATATAGGCTCACACAATTCAAATATTAGCAAAAATAGATATATGATAAGAGAAAGGAATATAAACAAAAATACTAAAGATAAGTATACATATATAAAGAAAATGACATGGTATATTAACAACGAAATAAGAATACACTGTTGACATGTATATCATTAGTTTACAATCAACATTTGTAATCTTGAAACATAAAATTTCTTATTTGATTAGATTTCTTAATATATTTTGTCACATGATATATATATATATACATTTATTATTACTGATGTACTCTATAAACAGAGATTCCTAGGTTTAATCGTTGCACATTAATTTTATAGCTCAAAAATCAAATTTTCTCATAAAACATGATTTAGAAAGGCGTGGCAATTCTCACTTATATACGAGCATAGCATCGTTACGGTAATATCACATCCAATACAGTCACTGCTTGAAACAAATTATATAAATTCATTTTTTCAATTTTAAATTGAAGGGAAAAACTATTAATAAATAACATAAATATGTACAAACATATGTAATAAACATTAACAATAACCAACATAATCATAAATATTGCATTCTATACATGATATATAACTGTAATAATTATTTTTAAAATTACTAGCTCGATAAAAAATTGGTATTTTTATAATTATTTAAACAATTTTACATAGAAGAATGTAATCTTTAAAGACTATCCTATATTGAAAATATATGATTATATAGTTGTATATATACTTTTTCTTGTTCATTTTGCGAAAAATTTATGTGAAGACTGTATCGCGATGATAAAGGAAGACATTATTCTTTTATACTTTTACACATACTGCGTTCATATTGATAATCTACCAAAAAAAGATATTTACTTCGATACTATCAAGATAACACAAACATTTAACAGATATTATACAATTGCTAAGAAAACGTTCTTGTACCTTTTAAACAATTTTTAATTACTTCTGTTACTTAATCGCTTCTGAATGCATATGAAATGTAGAAAAAAGAGTATATCTCATCATGTGAATAAATATTTTTATAGAATATTTTGATTGTAATGCATAATAATAAATAGAAGCTTAAAAATTGGGTATGTATCATATATTTATATAGTGCACATTTCCTATATATAAATGGACTTCGATTTTTTCACGGCACTTAGGTAAAACTTATTTTAAAGGCTTCTTTTGATTAATTTGAAGCTATACCAAGTCTATAAATTTATAGCATCTCTTTAATTTCTTTTACAATATTATAATATTATGAATGTCATATTAATAGAATTTTATATAAAATGTATGAAATGTTTTTATATGACTGAAAAGACCAGCCAGTCATGTGAGTATTTCTTTAAGTCTTTTATTTTGTGTGTGTGTGTGTGTGTGTGTGTGTGTGTGTGTGTGTGTGTGTGTGTGTGTGTGTGTGTGTGTGTGTGTGTGTGTGTGTGTGTGTGCGTGCGTGCGTGCGTGCGCGCGCGGATGTATCGTGTGTAAGTGTATTTAAAAGAAATATAGTGAAGTTTTTTTTATAGAACAATAAATAAATATTAAAATATTAGCATATAATTTAAAAAGAACGAATATTAAAATTCTGTTTTTGCTATGAATCTATATACGTATATATAAATTTTTTATCTAAAGATATACTCTTTATATCTCTACTTGTTGAATATATATATATAACTGTTAACTTAAACTAAACACACTGTATATGTGTATGTATGTATATATACATATGTGTGTGTGTGTGTGTGTGTGTGTGTAAATATTTTAAAAGTTGTATATTAAAGCTGATATACTATATAGTTATTTATTATAATTAAGATATAGTTTAGCAAAAAATTGATATAATAGATTTACTCTTTACTTATTACATTAACATAAGACAGAAACCACAATTGTTGTCAAAAACCTATTATACATCCTTTGTTTGAAGAAACATACTTAGATCTTTCCTTCTGAATTATCACTTTTGATAACAACTTGCTACATACACACATACGCACACGTACGCATGCACACATATGTATATGCATATATATATATTTACTTATGTGAACATTTTATATCTCATTTTTTACTTTACTGTGTATGCGTACACTTTTGCATTTCAATCTAAAGGATATAATACTATCGAGAGACAATTATTTCGGCCTGCCGGAATTCTTATTTACATTAAGTTACGTATAATTCCAGTAAAACAAAAATAATGCCATTTAGAATTGCAAATACTAACACTTTTTAATAGATATCATGACTACCATTATGTAAAGTATTTTGCATAAATTTAAATTTAATTAAAGAGTCGTATAATATACATAATTGATTGATCCTTATGGAAGCCGTGTGTATTATATGCAATAATTCAGTCGACAACGGGCAAATGAGAGTACGGCGTGGTTCTTGTTACGCAAAACAATAAAAATTGATAGCTTTTCTCAATTTATTCCAGTTTTAGAACGTCGAACGTTTGGCCATTGTACTGTTATGATGTAATTTTTGTATAAGATGGTTTTATGTGTTAATTTTCTTTTGGCTATTTTTAATACCTAAGATGAACGATTTGAGTTTGATTTGTTTTATTGTATCTTGTGAGATTTTGAACATTTCATCTAACAATGTGATGTGACATATTCCACAAGAATTATTAATTATTATGTAAAATAGAAGAATTTATGGATATGCTGTATTAGCTGATGAAGGATCTATATGAATCGAAACGTTCTAAAACTGGAATAAATTGAGAAAAGCTATCAATTTTTATTGTTTTGCGTAACAAGAACCACGCCGTACTCTCATTTGCCCGTTGTCGACTGAATTTTTGGAATTCTAAGAGTCCAGAAATGATATTTTTTGTTATTATAAGCAATGTTACGTCTCGAATATTTAGCACAAATGGACATAGATTATTGGCAAATTTTAATTTTTTTTAGCGTGAAATTAATAAATTACCTATAATTTTTTTCATTATAACTCTACATGTATGGATGTAATGCCAGTGCTCTGCCGCGTAAGCCTTTCTGACCTCCAACACCACCCTTTGGTATAACGTATCCTCCCGCATGTCTCGCTGTACCCTCTTCCTCCAAGTTGCCGTTACTTTCAATCAAATCACGTAAGGGCCAACAAGCCAAATGACGCGATTTGCCGTGACGTGCCAGAACGTGATATCCTTGTCTAAAAATATTAATATCATAGTAATTTTTTTTGTCCTCACTTTGAAATACATACTTACGCGCGAAGAAAGTAAATCAATTTTAATAAAAAGAATGATAGCTTCGCCTATTTTTTGGATCTCGAATTTCAAACTTTTTTTTTATGGCAAATAGTACTATTAGATGAAACATTAATCCTAGTAAAATTTCAAAATGAGCATAGGCACGGTTCTGGAAATACAAGGAGGTGAAAATGATGATTTCCAGTTAGAGTATATTGCATAAGGAAGAAAATGTGGTTGAAGTTCATTGGTAATATTAACGGTAAATTCTGTCGAATAGATCATTTACGATTCATTGTTCATATCTCGTTACTGTAGTGATAAGTATTATTACATTTTTGTTTTGATAGATAAAGTAAAAACTGGACGGGATTCTATTCATGAGTACTATTGTACTTGTGAAAGTGGTGACTGCAGGTTGTTGCAATCATATAATGACAATTGTGTGGTTCCTTGGATTTGCTCAATACCATGGGATAAAAATAATCAATCCTGAAATATGCAATGTATCTATCACGATTTACAAAACAACCCTACATATTAAGAGGCAAGAGGACTCACATTAAAAAAGCACTCCAATATATGAGAGCCAAGGGGATTCTTATTAAAAATCTGTGTTAAAAACCCCAATCTGTGAGAATCAAGGGGACTCATAGTAGAAAAGCATCCCGATCTGTGAGAGGCAGTGTCAAATGTCACTTCAACTGCATCTATCTTTAGGAATCTTCATGCTAGACGAAAATTGAGGTCATAATTAAAACCGGCATTAAAAAATCCATAAGAAACGATGTTTTACTTCGTTAAATATATATTTTATTCCTTGGTATAGACTTGAAGAGTTTCGTATACTTTATGAGAAACCATCACTTTCATCCCTTTATATCTCCGGAACCACGCCTATGCTCATCTTAAAATTTCTCTAGGATTAATGTTACATCATATAGTATTATTTGGCATAAAAAGTTTAAGGTCGACAGGAGTGACCCGTGGAGACCAGAAATATTTTTGTTATGCCTTTTTTACAAAAAAAAAAGCTCTGTATGAACCTTCAAGAGCCTTTTTTGATTACGAATATCACAATCAAAACACGATTCATGTTATATTTCAGCCATAATTTCAGCATAAAGGTATACATTTATGAGTGCAGATCAGTGCAGATTTAGGTCAGTTATGCTCATTTTTTTCCTCAAAAAAATAATATTTCCTTATGAAACCTGTTGAGATTTCATTGTTATATTGCTGGGAAGGCTCGTACAGAGTCAGATTTGATTCTTGACAATTTTTATTAAAATAAGATCATGTATACACCTCTCAACTGCACCATAGTACACATCGAGTGAGATAACAGAACAAATTTTTATTATGCCTTTTTTTTACAAAAAAAAAATAGCTCTGTACGAGCCTTTAGGAGCCTTTCCTAATTACGAATATCATAATTAAAACGCGATCCATCCAGTATTTTAGCCGTAATTTAGGAATAAAAAATTCATCTTCGACTAGAGATCTCTGGGTCACTCCTGTCGACCCTTAAAATTCGAGGTCCAAAAAATGGGTAAAAAAACAGGTTTTTTTGTCATCACTCTTTAACAAGCGAGTAAAATTAATGTACATCACATAATAAAATTAATAACTAAAAGTACACTTAATGTAGAAAACTGATGTTTTCTTTATATACCAGGTGTACAAGTATGAAATGCAGATTTGGGATAATAGATGGTGCACCAATGCAGTGTGTAGTAGAGTAATTATAGGTACTCTAGTGTGTAGTAGTGTTCCTATAATAATAGGAACACTATATACTATATACTATGTTATTATAGGAACACTAGTGTGTAGTATAAAGATTTGACGTATATGCCATTTTGTTGTGCCATCAACAAGTATCAAACGCGCATAAGTGATAAATTGAGTGTTTGCATAGTATTGTTTTGTTGTGTTCAATATGTCGAAATTTGTGACAAATAAAGAGCATTTGCCGACAGCATTAATTAAAACTGCTGCTGAATCATACTGATTACTTCGAGAGGCTTATGGAGAACATTCTCCATCGCAAGATACGTGTGAACGATCTTTCGGCGTTTCAAAAGTGGTGATTTCGATGTTGTAGACAAGAAACACGGAAAACCGCCAAAAAGATACGAAGATGTAGAATTGCGAGCATTGTTGGACGAAGATAATTCACGAACACAAAAACAATTCGCAAAGCAATTGAGCATTAGTCAACAAACTGTTTTTAATCGCCTACGAGAGATGGGAAAGATTCAAAAGGTCGGCATATGGATACTATATGAGTTAAACGAGAGGTAGATGGAGAGGCGCAAAAACACATGTGAAATTTTGCTCGAACGATACAAAAGAAAGTCGTTTTTGCATTGTATCGTTACTGGGGATGAAAAGTAGATATATTTTGAGAATCCCAAGCGCAAAAAATCACCCACATCGACCGCAAGACCGAATCGCTTTGGCAGGAAGACGATGCTCTGTGTTTGGTGGGACCAGAAGGGTGTGGTCTATTATGAGCTGTTAAAGCCTGCTGAAACGATTAATACCAAACGCTACCAACAACAATTGATCGATTTGAATCGTTCGCTACTCGAAAAACGACCAGAATATCGAAAAAAGCAACACAAGATCATTTTTCTCTATGACAATGCTCCTCCATCACATACGGCAAAACCGATTCGCGACACGTTGGAAGCACTCAGCTGGGAAGTGCTAGCCCATGCGGCTTACTCACCAGTTGCGGGATTCTCTAAACGTTTTATCGATGATTGTCGCTATCGTTAACTAGCGACAGTCAATGGCAGGACAATCCTGAAAGAAAGCGCGGCTCTCATTGGTTGTCGCTAGTTAACGATAACAACAATTATCGAAAAAACGTTTAGAGAATCCCGCTGCAGACTTGGTTCCTTCCGATTACCACTTGTTTACATCGATGGGTCACACACTTGCTGAGCAGCGCTTTTATTCGTACGAAGATATGAAAAAATAGCTCGATGAATAGTTCGTGGCAAAAGGGAAAGATTTTTACTGGCGTGATATCCACAAATCACCCGAAAGATAGGAAAAATGTGTAACTAGCAATGGAGCAGTATGCTTCAAAGTATTGAATAAACCACTTTTTATCATTCTTCCGAAATTAACGTTTTTTTTTTTTTTTTTAAATCCGCATTTAATACTTGTATACCTGGTATACGTAATAAATGTTTTCAAAAAGAAAAATAAAAAAAATCCAATCCGAAATTCAGATAGAGCAATAAATCATACCTGGAAGAGATTAGACCAACAAGCAATGCCCAATGTGCTTTATGACCTTTTTTTAAACATGGAGCGTGATTAAAGTCAGAATCATATGGTATCAGCACCATTGCTCCATGTGCTAAAGCATGAGTTAACGTATCTGGACACTGTTGTAAATCTACTAAAATATCTGGTTTATGATCAGGTAAATATTCTGCAGCCAATGTCCCCATGAAATCGACACTATATACTTCTCCGTGTTGTGTAAATCCTCGAACACGAGCTTCAGCAAGAAGTTGATTCACAGAAACTGGTTTTGTATATTCTTGTGATGCCATGGAAAGCGCCACTAAACCGCATCTATAAAATATTCAATACTTATTTTATAGACAATTATACAGAATAATTTCAAAAAATACAAAAATATTAATTAAATTAACTAAATGTATTATAAACATGAAATAGAGAATTGATACAATTGCAAACAAAAACAATTACATCTTTTTTTTTACTCTTTTAACATAGAAAAATTACACATAGTATTTTTTATAAGATTCGCTGATTGATAATACTCACTGTGGCCCATCTTGAAGAATTGGTTCTACTTGACAGAAATAAGTTACCTCAGCATCTTTCAACTCATTTCGCGTGATCAGTTTTTCGATTTCAGCTTCTGCAGATGTAAGTGTGATTTTGGCCCAAGGAGGCAGAGAATCGGTATCATTGACTTCTGTTTTCTCACACATAGGTATTTCTGATAAGCTAGAGAGGGTCGGAGATGGTGCTGGCATTTCTCGATGCCAAAATGCAAATAATCGTTGAATTTGATATAAAAAGATACAAGAAATGTTTTAACAGCTACGAAATGTCATCCACAAATGCAAGAAGTTTTGTTTGTATCATTGTTTGCAATGACTTTGACGACATTCGAAATGAATATTCTTTGCTTATTCTAGAAACTTCCTTGGAATTTCCTGCAAGATTTACAAAGGCATACAAATAATACACAAATAATTGTCATAGCATTTAATCAGATTCAGACAGAAAAATAATTTTAGAAAACACACGTTGTTATTTACAACTTGAATTACTCTCTGATCTGTTATTCGAGTCTATTGTATACACTTATATTCTTATACAGGACAATCTAGAGTGATTTAGAGGGAGGAGCATTATTGAAGTACATTTTTTGGATTATCAAGTTATTCAACCTTAAAGAACACAAATCTACGACTACGAATACGAGCACAATTATTAGCACTTAATAAGTATATAAAGACAATATTAATACGTTTTACAAGTCGAAAATCGAATATACTCTCCAAGGGATTTGTGTGTAACTTCTAGGCTGAGTTCGGAAATATCACCCGAATACCCCTGTGTATTGTTTTATTCTTGTTTAACATTGAATGAATAATAAGGATAAGATTATACGAGGAAATAAGGGTGATATTTCCGAATGCAGTCCTAATGGCAATTGATAGCAGCGCATCGCGCCGCATTGCACATTAACGTGGAGAGAAATAATAATCAATTCCTAATGGAATATAAACATAATATTAAGCCAAGAGATCTCGACGTTCGATGCTAATTACGAGTGCAAGCGATGACAAGCGATACGGAAGCTAGTTTTTGGAAAGAAGAAACGAGTCAACGATTTTTATTTAATCATATAGCGACGAGATATAACGTTGCGCCGTATGATTTTGACATTTGCACGTCTCCGCACTTCGTCTCCTCCCTCTTCCTCATGCCTGTTCACACCGTGTGATAAATCGTGATTGATGCATATACATTATGTAATTCCGCGATAGAAAAGTATCACACATTAGCCGACATTAGCATGCATTCATATCATGGCTAATGGCTTACGCTTCCAATATTTCAAGTGTTTTAACCAAGGCAAATCAACTCGCGAGCCACTCGAGGCTCTGCGGCAATTATGGCTTTTTAAAGTACATACCATGACAGAGCCGTCGCCGCCTTTCGAACACGAGTTAACACGAGTGTAGGCCTGTAGGGTTCGGCCAATGTTTGGTCCCACTTGCACTGTCGCGCTATGCACTCGCACTACTCGGTAGTATTGGTACTCGCAATTCGCAAAACTGTCGCAGATGTCCGTCGACGTCAGTCGACCATCGACGTTCGGACAGTTCGGGTGTCGGATGGTCGACGTCGACGATTAGTTGCAATTGCGTGCAACGCTGAGACTGCACGATTGCAAGCAGTCGACGAACGACTACTTACGAACGACCATTTCGGAACGATAGAATGTTGGAGACGTCTGCCTACACACCGATTATAATGAAATTAGGCTCATTCGACGCGTTTTTGCACGAAACGAAAGAATCTGGCAGAAAAGAGTGTCGCTCTGCCCTATGAACCGAGATATTAAACGTCAAAGTTGACGACTATTTAGGTTAGGAAATCTGTCATACCGACTACCATGAAGGAAGATATAAGGAGATTCCACCATCGACATATAGAGGGTGCGTTCCACCTAACGTTCACAACGCTCACGCTCTTAACGCTGCAATCGTCTGTTCCACTAGTTGCCACTAGCACAGTATATACAGTAGCGCAACCAGGAAGTAAGATATAAGGAGACTCCACTCCATAAAATAAAAGTGGACCCATTTTAGGTTTCGAGTTCTGCTTCCGATTCTGATGAGTGCGAGTAAGAGAAATGATCATTTCTCTTACTCGCACTCATTATGCGCAGCACTACTAAATTCAATTAATAAAAAAAAAAGATTGTTTTAAAGAATTGTTTTAAAGACAATCAAAATAATGTCAATTTGACGTTATATTGATATTATTTTGATTGTTTTGTTCTCCTTGGATGATAACTTTAGAAACTAGAAACGTTTCTTGCATCTCAATGTTCTAGTTACTTCGAGTCACTAAACTTTCACCTTCCCGCTATCACATTTGATGGCGGAAAAATTCACGTGAAAAGTTTCACGTTTCAACGTTTCGCCGAGTTCTATGATCATAAGTTCACGTGAAATCTTTCACTTTTCGCCTTTCCGCTCTAGGGGAAAAGTTACATGATCGCTGCCCAGGTCGAAAGAGAAGCAGTCAATGCGCTGAGTGGAGTGCTAAGAATTCAGTACGGTTAGTACAATCTGGGGAATTCAAGTACTCTCGAAGCACTTTCGAAGCGCGCAATAGTTAACTCGGAACGACTTTCTATGCAGTCTACGCGCTTCATGCGCGACTCGGAACGCACCCTAAATCTAATGTTTCACACGCACGTATCCATTGCAACCATCTATATAAATATTATTATATTGGTTATTGTAAATACAAATAAAATATAGATAAAAAAATAATAGATATATATATCTACACATATACATATATATATGTTATATATATGTTATATATATGTTATGGTATATATATATGTGTTGTATACAGAAATTAAAAAATATTGAATATTCCAAATATACATATGTTAATATATAGCATAATATACAATAAATTCGTATGTGTTTTAGAAAATAAATGAAATAAAAAGTTGTACCTGTCATGTTCCTTTGGAAACCGAAAAAAGTGTCGTTTTTCCACAATATTTTTATTACAGTCCTCCTTTACGACACACCATCCGCTTGATTTTTGAGCACACATTTTTTTCGCCTTTTAAAATCTCTCCAAATATCTGTAACAGAAAGCTAAGATCAAAGTGCTTCAAGAGAATTTGAAATCTGTACTATTTTTGTACAGATAACCTATTCTCCGTAAAGCTAACTCGGTCTACGTTCT